CCCCGGGCAGCGGGACCCCCGGACTGGGGGAGCCCCAGCACCACCCGCCGTGTTACCCACAGTGTGTGCACGTTGGTGGGTCAGGGGGACAGTTCTGCAGCCCCCTCGGTAAGGGGTGTTTGGCTGTTGGAACAAGCCCCTGCAGGGGAGCTGTGCTCCCTAAGCTGTGCTCCCCGAGCTGTGCTCCCTAAGCTGTGCTTCCCAAGCTGTGCTCCCCGAGCTGTGCTCCCCAAGCTGTGCTCCCCGAGCTGTGCTCCCCAAGCTGTGCTCCCCAAGCTGTGCCTGCAGCTCCTGCCATCAGTGAGGCTTCTGAAGGGTTCCTGCTTCCCTGCTGCTGGGGTCTGGAGGCTTTATCTGGCCAACAGATTGGGGGTACACGTGGGGTTTGCTGATGAGCAGTCTTATTAAAGCCTTCTGCATCTTAGATGAAATAAAAAGAGCACGGATCTCAGCTGGTTTTCAAGTTAAGTTTAAAAAGCTTTGTCTGTGTTTCTAGGTTTGTTTGGAAGATATTGCCAGGGCTGAGAGTCATGGCTACCCAGACAGGCTGCTGCCCAAGGTCTTGCTGCGGAAAGCTGAGTGTCTGCTGTGCCTGGGAAGGCTGCAGGAGGCAGCAGGTGCCCTCAGTGTGGTGGAGAGTAAAATCTCTGTGGATGGGATCGTGACTGGTCCTACACACCAGGCATTGCTAAAAAAGTTAAGTCAACTAAAGATTAAACTAGGTGAGAAGGAGAGCTGTCCAGAGCGTGCACGAGAATCGTGTGGTGGTGATCAGAGAAAGTCAGAGATCTGGGAAGAGAATGGCAGCATTTCAGGTGCATCTTCATCTCTGAGCTTGAATTTTGACAGAGAGAGAGGACGTCACTTGGTGGCCTCCCAGGACATCCTGCCAGGACAGAGCCTGTTGAAGGAGGAAGCCTTTGTAAGTGTGCTGTGCCCAGGGGAGAGCTTCCTTCTGCAGGACAGCAGGGAAACAGCGTGGGACACTGCAGTCACCAGTGCAGATCTTTATTGCCACCGTTGCCTGAGGCAGCTCTTGGCCTCGGTGCCCTGCCCTGGGTGCAGCTATGCAAAGTACTGCAGCCAGGGCTGTGCAGAGCTGGCGTGGGAGCAGTACCACAGGACAGAGTGCTCCCTGGGAGCCCTGCTGCTCACACTGGGGGTCTTCTGCCACGTTGCCTTCAGGACTGTTCTCCTGGCGGGCTTTGCAGAGGTTAGCAGGCTGGTGGAGTGGTCCCACGGTGGTGACAGTGACCTTCACGACCCTGAGGCAAGAGGCAAAGGTCTCAGTGAGGCACCAGATGCAAGAGCTGGTACCAGAGGTATCCCTGGTTGTGGTGACAATGGTCAGTACCAGAGCTCTTACCGCGCTGTCTTCAACCTTTTGCCACACACTGAGAAGCACAGCCCCGAGCATAAGTTCCTTTGCATGCTGAGTGTGGTAGCTCTCTGTAAACAACTGCAAGAAGCTGGCCTGGAGGCTGCTGTTCTGAATCGGGAATCATCTGGGGAGTGCTCCAAACCAAAGGCACGTGGAAACACAGCAGGGGAATTGTCTCCAGAGCTGAGGACGGTGGCAGAAGCGATGCTGAGGCACGTGCTGCAGCTGCAGTGCAATGCACAAGCCATCACTGTCCTGCAGGAGTCAGGTAAGACAATGAACTTTTCAGCTCTTCTGTGCTCTCCTTGCCCGTGCGAGGTGAAGCAGTTGAATTATCAGTTGTAAAAAGCTGCCCTTGCAAATGGGAATGACCTGCTTAAAATGTAAACTGATCCCACACTGGCCTGTTCTTCGATGCACGTGCAGCCTTTGGGTTTTTAGCTATTTAGCTATTATTTATTGCAGCAATAGACCAGGAGCCTTCCTGTTGCTGCCTGTGCTGTGTCACAGTGCTCCTTGCATACGTTGTGTGGGTAACTGAGCATTCATTCTCAAACTTCTTGTTCTTCTGTCTGTAGGGACTGGAAATGGTGCTGTTGTAAATAAGAAGCCTGTGCTCCTGGCAACAGCCTTCTTC